TGCAAAGGCTATGACTCAGGAATGCAGATCAAAAGAAATCTCTGAATCCTCATTCTACTTAAAGAGGTTGAAGAGATGAAGCTAGGGAGGGAGAGAAGGGTCTGAACTTGTGGAGTCTTGTATACCTTTGTGAAGAGGTCTGAGTAGAAGCCATGCACAAGAACTACAGAAAGACTTGTGCCTCGTGGAGAATTTTTAAAGATTGTGGAACCTGGACAGTGTGCAGATAACTGGGATAGGGAACAATAAAATTAATTACACAAGAGCATGGATCAAATGATATGTGTTAATCCAGCATAGGAAAGTAATGGCAGAATATAGGTGCAAACATTGTGACATTCACTGGAAAATCTTTCAGCTCTACAAAGGATTGAATGGGTTCATAAAATATGGTGAAAATTAATGCCTGGCACCAAGATAGATTGCAAAGGATTTGCTATAAAGGTGGATGTGGGCTGTGAGAATGGGTCAAGAGAGATTCACTGTTTTATGTCATCAAAAATTAATATTGAAGACATTTATTGAGATGGAAGTTACTAGAAAAAGGAACAGAGTCTATTCTGGACATGAGTTTAATGTATCATTAGATATCAAATCAAGATGTGAAGCTGTCAGAGGTATATGTCAAGTAATGGTCCAAGAGATGGAGATTCTAACGTGAAAGAGGGCCAGGGATACAGCTCATCAGCACAGCGCCTGCCTGGCAAGCGCAAGGTTTTGAGTTTGATTCCCACTACCAAAACAAGAACGTAATTGTGGAAGCGTGCCAAGGAGCATCCTCACGGATATTATATTCCTCCATAAATTATGAAGGCAGTTCAATAAGTATCAGGTTAAACTTAAGCACTAGCATAAAACCTGGAGAAATTAGATGATAGATCTTACAGAATGGGTGAAAATACTTTAACAAATGCTAAACATGGCAGCCCAAGTTACTCCAACACTGCTTTGAGGTAAAGTAGAGTTTTGAATGAGTATGTAACTCTGTGTTGTTGCTATTTTACATCTTTATGATGATAAAACTCCCTAATAAAACACTGAAAGGTTATTAGGAAATTCTCTTTAAAACACTATAATCATTCATTCTTTCTTCCATCATGATTTAGAAGAAAATAAATATTGATGTCAATATATCCACTTAGGGTGATAGCTTTATAGGAAGCATAACAATTCTTTTAAAATAAATCAATAAAATGATCTTACATAAGTTCACCTTTCTGCTTGAACTCAGCTCTCAAGACTTTTGCTTCAGAAATATATGAGAGTCATACAAACCAAGTTAAAACAAAGCTATGTAGCACTCTAAAAGAAAAGTAAAGAGTAAATCCTAATTGGGGTTTAATCAGGGTTAAAATCTGAAGTTTAAATATTAACATATCACCATCAAATAAAACTTTCCTAAATTATTTTTAAGGAGCACCACCACCTATCTTCTCCTTTCTTCAAGTACTTCTCGAATTCTTAACAGCCCCTTCCCCCAAAAAATGGAAAAATAAGAAAGAAGGCAAGAAAGGAGTAAAAGAAAAAAAAAAAAGAAAAGGAAAAGATATGTTAGATGAAAATCTTTTTACTCTAATATTCTCCACAAAAGCAAATTGCATATAGAAAATCTCCATAGATTATATAAATTCCTAATTAGATATTACTACATCCCACAAATATACAGACATTTCCATCACCACTGCATATGTATCCATATTTATGAAATGTGCCATGTATTCACATTTTTATTGTAAAAGATGTTATTCTGTTCACCAAAGGTATGATTAGAAATGTTCTTTTTTAGAATGATGACTTTTACTTTTCTTTAAGATAGTCTTGTTTAATATTCTAAGAAATCCTTTTGATTTGTTGTCCACGTGTTGCATAGCATCAAAGGTTATTCAAACAAAGCCAATTCAAACATATTACTGCATAATTGCAAGAACAAACTTCAGGTTATTTATATGCAATTTGAGTTTTAAAGTGGGCCATATATGGCTATGATAATGAGCCCATAGCTGAAAGATGCACTTCAGTAAAGTACATAAACTCATATGAGATAACAGATATGTACTATGCATACACATTATCTTTGCTCCTCAAAATATGTGCGTTGTTTTCATTTCAGTATTTACAGAGAAAAACAGGAGAAAAATCACTATTATTTTAAAAATAGCTTTTGAAAGTATTATAAAATTGTCACTAGATAAAGCATAAGATAAAGAAGGGAATAAAAAGTCTTGTGATGGTTCTCATTATTTCCCAATGATTTAAAAACTACTGTTACTTAAAAACAAAGAAAATCTGGAATACAAAGGCTAAATCTCAATATCTATCCTCTTTTATAATGATAGAAAACAATATGCTTGTGATTTTCTGAATTAAATGAGAAGATCTTTACAGCAAAACTAGAAGAGTTTGTAGTTCTTAACTAATTTAAAATTTATTTTCTATGGATTGTCACAGGGACAGGATCCTGAAAAACCATTAATAATATTAGCATATACCTTCTATAAGGAGGCAAAACTAACATTTTTCATGCACTATAAAAATGCACATATAAATTACTGGCCAGGCAAATTTCAGTGCAAATCTGTGTATCATTTGTCACTGCATAAAATTAATTTCTGTGTCTAGCACAAGGGTAGTCAGTATATCTCTGAAATGGTACAAGCTTCTCTAAATCTGAAATTCATGGACAGGATAAGCACACACCCCCAAGAAGGACAATCAGTAAGTAGATACCAAAAAATCCTGGTAGGGTAACAAAGCTTAGCTGTACCACCCACTAAGCCCCTCATTAGATCAGTGAGCAGCAGTCCCAAGGTGTTGAAACAGCCTAGAGGGCAGTGTTGTCCAAATTCCAAATTTTCAACTATCTCCAGGGAAAAGCTGTCATCATCCTGAAGTATCCAAAGGCAACCCAATGTCAAACATACAATTTACACTAATTCAGTAAGAGTGTGCATAGTTTTCTTTAACAAAATGAGAATCATACACACAAATTTTTGTAAAAAAATTTGTAAAAATCTTCAGTCGTCAACCACCGGGAATTTTTCATTACTAGAAATTCTGCAATAAGTGTGGCTTGAGTACAAATTGTCCCCTCATCCTGTAGTGCCAAATCAGAACAAAGGTTCTAGGTGTGTCTTTACAGCAGGAAGGAGATGGTGTGAAAGATAAAGAGAGAGATTGAATGACAAAACCATGGGAAAGAAATGAAGGAGGAAGAGGAAGGAGGGAGGGAGGGAAGGAAGCGAGAAATGATGTCTTGCTACTGCTGTTCCAGCAAGCTGGTTAATTGCATTTGTTTCATATATCTCCAAACACCCTGGTACATTAATTACATTCTGTAACACCAAGCTCTTCTGATTCCCTCTGTCACTTCCAGTGAGCAATTTAATTAGATTTCTCCTACAGACACACAGATTTAGAAAAAAAAAAAAAAAAAAAAAAAAAAACTTACTGATAATTCCATAGTCTAATATATAGTTTTTTCATGCATTTGTTATTGAGATATGTAAAATCACGATTGATGGGGATATACTATTTAAAAAGCTACCCCAAAGTCTTACCATGATAACTGAACACATTTCGAATAAATATGTAAAATCTTTTCCTTATGGTAATGTAAATGTATTGTAAAGATAGATGTATTAGAGAAGAAAATGAATGGAGAATGACCATAGATATTGCCATAATATAATGTCAAGATGCTCAATTCCTGCACATCTACCGCTGTACTTAGGAGGGTAAGAGAGGAGTGGTGAGCACACATGCATTCCTTTCCTACTATTGCTGGGGGGCAAAGGTACTCATGTAGTCCATGATTGAAAACAGCCACTTGACAGTAGGTAAACTCATCCAAATTGCCTCATGTTTATAGAAAGGCTTCCTCTTTGAGTCTCATACATCAGGTCCTGTGCAGCAGCAGCTGCCAGGAACAAAGTTAGCTCCCACAAATGGGCAAAAATAGGTAGTGTCCACCGTGCAAATGCTAAAGAAAGTTTGTGTAGCAGCACACTATTAGGATGGCTTAAAGGTCTGGATGAATACATCTCAGATTCTTTACAAATACAATAATTGAAAATTATAAATATTACAATCCACAGAAATGTGGAGAGATGCTCTGGTCCTCTTCACATCAATAGTTTCCACTGATACGAAAATTAATGTTCCTAAGAGACTACTACCAAATACTTTTTTTATTTTTATGAAAACAAATCATGTCGATTATTTCCACTCTTCATTCAAAAGAGCTACAAAAGGATTCTGTAACAGTCTCATCTCATGAAAATATCCCAGGGAATCAAATCAGAACAAAAGACAAGAGAAGCAGAAGCAGAACGCTGTCTGCCTGACAGGCTGACTCAACCTAGAGGGAGACACCTAGAGCACCTGTTTCAGGTCCCCATTGTGTTTGCCCACTGGGGACAGAGCTGAGTGCTCCACGCCTGCAGCCAGCCCGGAGCTGATGCTGGCGCATCGCCCACTCTCACTTTGACAGTTTTCTCTGTGATCTAAATTCTTTATTCTGATATCATGTAGAACAGCATTCACCTGGCTCACAGGTGATACACACTGATCCCCGAGATCACCAGTCTCCAATCCCTCACTCACTGAACCTACCTTGTAGTGTGGTACTATACTTCTCCACTTGAATGTCTAACCTAAAGTTTGGACACGAGAACAAACACCAATTTGAAAGCAGGCAAATCAGCATTACACTCTTGCAAGAGATTTACTCTCATGTTTCTTTTTTTCCAGCAAATCTGAGAGTCCGTCATTTATTATCCAACTCTTCAATTAATTACAACATTAACAATGGGTGACTATGAACATGTTCCACATACTGCAGCTTAGAAACAAAAGATACAAAACCTCTGCCTCTAAAGAGGTCCTGCCAGTCCAAAACAGACGATCAGACAGTTATTTTACTTACAACCCACATCAGACTTAGGAATAAATATTGGCAAGGAGAGGATAAAAGATTTTTTAAAAAAGCATTTCAGACTTACCATCAACCCGAACATATAAAAATCCACAGAGCAGTAGTGGTGTAAACATCAGCAGACTCATTTTGACATATTAAAAAGGATCCAGATTGTTTAAGAAACCAATCCCAGAGAGCAAACTACAAAAATAAGTATCAAAAAAAGAGGTAGTTCCAAAGTTTAGACTTTCCTAGACACTAATTAGTCAAGAAGAGCATATCATCGCAAGTTCAGAAGGGGTTGGTGAAGAGGTCTTGAATAGGACACATTTAGATCCATCCAAATTAACGGAGGGTACTTCAAAGGCTGCTGTATTTCCACTCTGGCTTCCTAAATTCCCACAAATTCACCCCAGGCGGAGGGATTATTCAAGTGTGTCTAACCCTCTCTCCTTAGGCTCCATTGCAATCCAAAGCCAAGTTCTTTCTTCAGAAGTCAAGAAGATGAAGGGGGAGGAAAAAGACCTAATTCCTAGAAAGTATTCCACAAACTTGCCAGCGCGCTGCCGAAAAACCCTTGGCCTGCCTACTGCTTTTCTTTCCCGTCTCCTCTCTGTAGCAGCAACACGTCCCGGAGTTTTTTTGGTTTTTGTTGTTGTTGTTGTTTTGCTTTTTGCTTTTTGGTTTTTGTTTTTGTTTTTCACTTAACTTCCATCACACGGATGTGTCAAAGCAACACTTTGCAGGCGGGCCTCTCCTTTGCAGCCTCGTCGCCTCCCTCCACCTCTCTGGTTTCCAAAAGAGAGGAAAAGGGAAATCAGGACGAGTCGGGTGGAGAATCTGAACTCCTACGTGGTGAGGCAGCGGGGAGGGAGGCAGGGAGAGAAGCAGGAGAGCGGGGGTGGAGGGAGGGGCGGGCTGAGGCTGCGCCACCCCTCGGAGCGCTCTGGCACCCCGGCTGCGGAGGAGCGAGGCGCGGGCGAGGGAGCCCTGGACCCGGCTCCGGGAGTCCAAGCGCGCGGTGCAGCCGGCAGAAGCCGCCGCGGCCCGCAGCGGAGCGCCCGCCTCCTCCCGCACGGCGCGGTGGAAAGACTCGGAGCTGGGAAGCCTGGAGGAGAAGGCGGCGGGAGGGAGGAGGGAGGGGAGCAGCGCGAGCTGCTCGGAGCGGCCCGGGGAGGGGTGGGAGCTGAGGGGTGGCGCCGAGCTCACCCCCTGCAGACTCCGCCCTTGCAGGGGGTAACGGCCCCCCGGGGACTGGGGCGGGGTCTGCAGAGTGGAGAGTCCCGGGGGGACGGATGTGAACAAATTTGGAGCTCCGCCGGCTGCGGGGGCTCGGGCCACCGGTCAGCCTGTGCCCCTCTCGGGCACCCCCTCCTCCTCCCTCCCGCCTCGGGAGCGGATAGGTGGGCGCTGGCCCCCGCTCCTCGCCGCGTCCCGTTTAATGGGCAGGTAATTTTCTCGGTGAATGATTTCGCGCAAGCCCTTCCTAATTATTCATCCCGCCGTCTGCTGGAGCTCGCACGCGCTTCTGGAAAAAGATCATCCCTGAGCACCCGGGGCGCAGCCTCGTGACCCGTTAAAGTCGCACACTCGCTCACTCCCCACCCTCACCCCAGAAGCTGAGCTGGAGGGAGAAAAGGCCCGGGAAGGAAACATAAGCACCCCTGGGGCTGGAAGGTGGTGTGAGGGTACTTCCCACAGGGGGAGGGGGAAAAGGAAAAGCCCCGGAGCAGGGTGGGGAATCTGGCTATCCGCTCCCGGTCCTCCCTCGAGGGCCTGGATCTTAGAACTGGGGCTACCGAATCCCCCTCGGAGGAGAAGAAGGGGTGGCATCTCCTCTCTTAGTCGCCTTGTGACCTCTCAGAGAGGACTTTGCCGGCACTCGTGGGGTGCCAGCGAGTTCTGCAGAGAACACTTAGGAAGGGAGGAGCGGGGATCAAAGAGCCTAGCGGCAGGGGAGACTGGGGGTCTGGGACCCTGAGCCTCCCGAGACTGGTACCCTGCTGATCGCGGAAAGGTGACCACCTAACTGAACTAAAAGCCGAAAGAAAGAAAGAAAGACTTAGCCCAAAGAGGAAAAAACCACCAAAATTATGACAAAACACTACCAAACGAATGTCACTCGGGGCTGGGGACGATGAAGGACGCCCACGTGAAATCAAGGGGATGGCAGGGTCTGAGGTGCCCCAGCGTGGCCGGGCCCACGTGTGATCACAGGCTCTCCGCTGGCTGTTTGATGCTTGCTCGGGTGACGAGGAGGAGGCGGCCCGCAGGAGCTGGCGCGGGTCCCGGAGCCGCCGAAGGCAGAGAGTGAGTCTTTAGTTCCCCCTACTGGAAACTATTAGGAAAGAGTCTCTCCATGTGATGGCGATTGAGGAAGAGCCTTTTGTTTGGATAGATGCACTTTGGTGCTGCCACTTAACTCAATTCTGCCTTGCCCATTATGGCTATGTTATGATGTGTTTTAAAAAGTGGTCAGCGACATTCACATTTAAGAGATTATGAGGACTCTTCCCAACTTCCCAGCACGCTTGACACTTGTAATGAAATACTCTTGCAGAAGAATAAAACAAGTTATTTTTCTTATGAAGCATCAAGAGTAATTTCAGCACACTTTTGATGTACACTATTTAGTTATAAAGAAAAAAGCGGTCAGTAGACTGAAGTCAAATCTCTTGGGGTTTCACAGTAACAAGTCAGAATTAGCACCAGGTTGAAAAAGACTAACCTACTAAAAGGAAAAAACAGTCACCACATTCCCTTCCTCTCATCCCTCCCTGTTCTAACTCAGATAACAACTGTGGTCTACAAAAATCCAAAAAAGTTGGGGAATAGACGTCTCTTCTGTCTGATATAATGATAAGTAACTGACAATTCTTTCATTTTAAACATTTTGAATAGGCTAAAAGTTGAGGATTATAAAGTTTTCCCCATTCTTATACATAATACCCCGTGCTTATCTCAGCTATATTTCCTTATTTAGGAGCAATAAAAAATTCCCTGAAAATGGGATCTCCATAATAACAAAGTTCAGGCTTTAAAAATCATGTGACATTTTAAGATCTTTAAAATGAATCTTGGAAAGGAAAATGGGAATATTTTTCATATGGAGATTTTTTATGGCTCTTCATTTGTCAGGCAAAAGATAAATTCTGTTTTACACTAGATAGACTCACCAACTGTAAGTACTTTTCCTTAAGAACCTATAAAACCACTTGGAAACAGGAAGACTATGTGTGGAGAGCAGAAGGGATTGGTTGGAGGGGATCCATCCACTAATTTCCAAAGTCTTCTAAGAAAATACTACTTTTCAATTCATAGGGAGTATAACAAAAAACATATAGAGAAGATTTTTATTTAAGGGAAATTTAGTTATATTTAATGAACATTTTTGGTCAAGCATCTTTATTTTGTAGTCATGATTACGAAAAGTAACTCTTATGATTAATCCATTGTGTCAACTTGAGTTTAAAAGTTTTAAGAGACTCAGCAGGGAGCCGCGATCCTTATTTTGTAGACATCCTTAGCCTGGCAAGAGCAGGGTCCAGAGATTTTGTAAATGCTACATCTGCCCTGGGGGGCAAGTGAGTGGCCTGCACACAATGTAAGGGAGGAAAAGAGGCTTGTTGTCTCTGCATTTGGCTCCAGTTGCTTTTGGTGGCTGCTGCCTTGAAGAGCTGTCCATGTGTCGGGGCTGGGGATTTAGCTCAGCGGCATAAGAACCTGCCTTGAAAGCAGGCAGTCGTGAGTTGGATCCCCGGTACCGATAAAAAGGAAAAAGACCAAAAAAAAAAAAAAAAAAAAAGAGAGCTGTCCATGTGTCATACCATCCTGTCTTGGAGTCTTGAGTATTAACTGAAACTTCCACACACTGTGAACTAAATAAACCATTCCTTCCTTCATTTTTAGTGTTGGGTATTTTGTCCTAGCAAGAAGAGGAAAATAACCAAGACAGTATCAAAACAAGCCAGAGATTTCCTATGGGTGCTGCCTTCTTTCCTACACACTTGCTGAATTATGGGGAAATATCTGTAAACAAGGAAGTTTTATAGTTCATCTTTTCTGCTTCATTTGAAGAATTCATAAATAATTTTTAAAAGAACTGTCAATATTTCATTGATAAAAATGTGACTAAAGGAAATCTTTTCAGAATCTCTCCTAAAGGATAGTTTGGGAATGTGACCTAAATTCCCATTCTAAGGCAATAGCAGTAAAGAGTCCTCAGTCAGAAAAAAATAGTCATTAAATTCAGAAGAACAGATACCTACTTTGTAGAGACTTGATAACATTTCTATTGGAGAAATGTTTAGATTTCAATTAGACTTCACATAATTTGAGCACTAAATCCAATTAAGAAATAGATTATTATTTTTTAAAAAGATGGCCTTTTAAATCTGAATTTTCTAGAAGTTAGAAATTCAACTTTACCAATGCATTACCTAAAAGCATTTTTTTTTAAAATTTTCATTTAAGATAAAAAGCCAAAAGTGGCTTAGAACAATGAATTCTCCATACCCTAATAACAACTTAGAGGTTTTAACATGTGGGAAAGCAAATAAGCATTTGATTTCAAATCCTTTGCAACTATGAATTGTTTTTTACTTTTTAAACAAGCAGCTGAATAGAGAAAATTGAAAGGAAATGGAGGCATCTTTTGTGTAAAACGACATTATGATAACCTCAAAGTATGCCTTCAAGATATATATTTTAATACATCTCAAAGCTAAGCATAGGCCAAAGTCTACTAATTAACCCTAATTTGAGGAAGGTGATCAAATGACCTTCTTAGTGATTGAATTTTGATTTGCCCATTCTGTAGATCTGTAAACTTAACTATGTGAAGGGAATCTGTACAACAAAGGGTATAAAATATTACACATTTCTTTTCCACACTAGATTCCTCAGTGATGTGGTATAATTTGAAAAACCTCAATCCATGTTTTCTTACTGTTTCCAACAAGCTCTTGTCATAATTGAAAGGCTGTATATATGGAAAAGTCAAAGGTTTGATCCATAATAATTATTTTAATATGTACTGGCATGCAGTGAGCACGTAAGAGTTTTCAGAAATTGGTTTAGTTTGCAAAAAAGTCATTATGTTGTTAAATTCCTTTACAAAACTCATGTGGTTGATTTTATTTCCACTGTACAGATGAAAAACTGAATATATATGACTCATGCTAGTAAAAAGCACAATCATCCTGTAAATCCAGAAGGGATTATAAAATTTATATTCCTAGTTTGGACTATGCATCCTGGAATGCTTTAAGGTGTTCAGATTGCAGACACACTGTCAAGAATTTGCATTGATTGATCAGTTTATAAAAACCCTTGGTGCACTTAAACAGAACTATGTGTCCATATATTCAAAAACGAAGAATTGTTCAAGCCTGTATGTCACTATGAGTTATTTGTTCAGTTTAGACATTCTTATATGGTATTATCTCACATACAATATGGAAACGTCACATTTAATAAATTGTATTCATTATTACTTACAAAAGGCACAAGACAATTAATACAAGTGAATCATTAACAATCCAACAATTTTGACTCTTTTGTTTCTATATTAATTTTTATTACACTCCACCTCCTTCCAAAAAGAATTTGGGGGAAACTAAGTAAATTCAATAACATTTTTCTGAAATGTATCCAATTTCAATCAATTCATTTTAAAGTATTCACTAATTTGTTTCTATGTACCAAAAACAAAACGTATTTTGGTACTTCGCGTAAGAGTTATTAAAACCATCTATTTAGATTTTGAGATTTAAGTTAACTAAAATGTAGCAGTATTTCATTTAAAAATTATGGTTTTCTTCACCAAATATCTGCCAGATATTGTCAAGAAAAAAAGGATTATTTTCTCTAGAACGAAAATCAACTTGGGAAACCATTTTCTATCTTGACTGAGAAGTTTCATGAACACTTTTTGAATAAATATTACAGTAATATACAACACTGTTATATTTCTTTAAATGTGTACATCTTTAATATGTGCACCTTAAAATGTGTGTGCCTAAAAATCTTTTTAACACATAGGAATGTTCAGAGGTCATTGACAAGATTGTGATTTTTATTTC